TTTGACAATTTTGGTGGGTTTTTTTTGGTCTTTTTCTGTTTGGAATGCCAATCACATGTAAGTTATTATTCTTGATGGTGTCTCACATAGTTTACAGACTTTCTTAATTTTTTTTTTCTGATTGTCCCTCTAACAGATTACTATTGAGATATTTTTCTTCAATTTTACTAATTCTGTCTTTCATCATTCAGTTTTACTCCTTTGTCCTTCCAATGTGTGATTTATTTCTGAAATTTTAGTATAATCTTCTAGATTGCTATTTGCTGATTATGTATGGTTTCTAATTTTCCATCTATTTTGTCAATTTGTCCTTGTATTGTTTCCTGAATTTTTCTAGAGCTTTACTTGTGTTTTCCTTGCTCTCTCTCTAAACCTGTTGAAGGTACCTAAATATAATTCTTTTGAATTCCCTGCCAGGTAGTTCCAATACTGTTTCTTCCTCAGGAAGGTTTTCTGGTTCTGTACTTTGGTCACTTGTTTGGTCACTTGTTTGGTCACTTCTTTATGTGAAGTAAGATTGTCTGTTGTCTCCAATACATTTAGGTGTTATATTTGTATTTAATTGCTGATTGTATGTTGGTGTGTTTTGTCCAGGGTTTTTGCTTTGTTTTGATATAGCTGGGTGAGTGAGGCAGTTGAACACTTAGATGCTCACTACCTATCTCCTGGTGGGTGTTGTAGAGGATGGGATTATGTGCGCTGTTCTCTGTTCACTATTTGTGTAAAGCAGTTGAGGTCAGATGGAGTGGTTTTGGTCACCATCCGTTGTTGATCAAGTGGTATAGGAGTAGGGGGTGTCACTTGCCTAGTAGTTAGGGTATCAGAAGAGTCAGGTGTGGCTGCATAGTGTGGGCACAGTTGCTGCATACCAATGGTGAAACAAAACCAAAAACCACTAACAAACAGAAAAAAAAAAAATTAAAGATTAAAAAGAAAAGAAAGTAAAAATAAAATAAGGAAGAGGGGAAAAGGGAACAGAAAAATGAGAAATATAAAAGCAAAAAGAAAAAGGAAAAGCAAAGAAAAGAGAAAAAATAGAAAAAGGAAAAACAAAAAGAAGGGAAGGGAATGAAAAAAATAAATGAAGAAGAAAGCTGGGGTGACAGGAGGCAGGGTGCCTGGTATGGGGCTGTGCACTCTTCCAGCTGAGTAGGCAGTTGAGGGCAGTGTGCCTGGTCTGGGGAAGCATCACCTATTGGCCACAGAGGTGGTGGCAGTTGCACACCTGCTGTAGTACAGTGCCTCTGCTTGCTAAGGAGGCAGAGGGAGGCAGTGTGCCTGGTCCATGGCAGCACTCTTGGTCTGGGTGGCATACCCCATGAGCTGAGAAGGCTGCAAGTGGTAGGTTACCTGATTCATAGAAGCATGTGCCTCCAATTGTGGGGTGGTGTGCACACAGCGCTTGATCTGCAAGGCCACACCTCGGACCTTAGGTTGGCCAGGGACAGCATGAAGGGGTGTCATTGGCTAGTGGTGGATGAGGGTGGGAGGTGGCTACACTTCTCATTACCAGGAAGGTGCCGTGAGTAAGGGGAAGATCACCATCTACTGGTGTGGGCAGTCCTGGGCAAACAGAGCCAGTAGAGCCAGTTATCTAGTTTCTGACCTGATGAAATAAAAATGGCTGTGCTGTGCCAGACTAGTTGACAATTCACCACTCCGTATGTCTCCTTATTTGCTGTTTTTCTTTAGTTTCTTCTTTTAATTAGTATCTTATCTATTTATCTTTTCCTTTAAAGCTCAGGGTTCCAGGATTACAATCCATTTCTACTTCATTTGGTTTGTTGAGTGTCTATTGCAGAGGGTCTAGGTAGTATATCCATCTAGTCTGCCATCTTGCCTGAAGTCTCTAATTTGTTTGTTTTAACCCATGAAATTTGTAGTAATTTGTTACAGCAGCCATATCAAATACATAGAAATACTAACTAAATGATGAAAATTTAAATGAAAAGGTAGACTCTGACCCTCTGGGTATCCCCTCCTAGTAATAAACACATATTCACTGCCATTGAGTCATTTCTGGCTCATCGTGACCCAGTTTGGGTTCCAAGGTGGCAAATCTTTATGGAAGCAGATTGTCCCATCTTCCTTTCATAGAGTGGCTAGTGGGTTTGAACCACTAGCCTTCTGATTAGCAGTCAAATGTCTTGGCACTATGCCACCAGAGCTCCTTATATAAGCACATATCAAAGCTAAATGAAATGTCCATTTTTTTTTTTTTTTTATAAAGGGAAAAAAAGAAAATCCCTAGATGCTAGAAAAAAAGAGATTATCTCAAGGCTGGAAATTGAAAAGTTTTTCTGATGCAATGATTGGGAATGGGTGGGCCACAGTGTTTCAGGGCTTTTGCCATCATAAGGTAACATCCTCGGAACGAAGATGGGGCAATCTACTTCCATAGTGATACTGCCTTGGCAACCCAAGGAGGGGGTCGCTATGAGTTGGTCCGGCTGGGCATATAACAACAACATTCACAGGTTACAGGGATTAGGACATTGTTAGCTTTTTATTTATTTTTATTTTTTGAGGTGAGCATTATTATGCCTACTACAGTGATTGAAGACAAAAGTTTTAGCCTCCTCTAAAGGAGGCTTCACTGTGTATGGATTTAACACACAAATATAAATGTGTGAGGATAAAGGAACCTGTAGTGGTAATGTTTCTACATTCAATTGAAGTGTTAACATGTAGACTCTAAGTAGAAGGTGAAGAATATGTATACTGTTTCCCTAGAGGGACCTCTGGTGGTGTACTTGACTGCTAGCCAGAAAGCTGACGGTTCAAACCCACCAGCCACTCCTCAGAAGGAAGATTGGCAATCTACTTCCGTAGTGATACTGCCTTGGAAACCCAAGGAGAGGTCTCTGTGAGTTGGATCCGACTTGATGGCAGTAAGTTTGGTTTGGTTTTTGGTTTTGTTTCCCTAGCACACAAACTTAACAGAGCTATACAAAGAGATGTGGCTAAAAGAAGCAATAGATAAAATGGAATACTAAAAATACTGATATTGAGTAGGTAGAGGCTGCTAATAATCCTACAATGCAGATTACAGCCCCCACAACAAAGAATTATGTAATCAAAAAATGTCTATAGTGCAAGGTTGAGAACTCCTGCCTAGATTGAGAAACTCTACAGTCATCAATACATGACTCACTTTGATCATGGGTTTCCAAAGCTTTATACTAGTTATATATAAACCATTTTAATGGTTTCCATAATATTTAATTAGGTCACATAAGTACAGTAAGTAGTATAACTAGCATAAATAATTTGGGTACAAAATATCACTTTTTTTGGAGGAAGCATAAGTATTTTGGGCAGGTACTAGAGAAAAGCCTAGTAACTGCCAGCTTTCAGAATGTCATGGGCATAAATCAGAGGGATTAGAGAATATCCTTAAATCTATGGGTTGATTGAGTACAAGTACGTTAGGAGAACTTTTACGTATATATATGTGTATGTAAGTATATTTACATTTCCTCTCATTTTCTCTTCCAATATCATTTTAAATAATAGCATTATTTAAATAGTAAAATTATTAAAAAATTATTTTATGTAACTTTTGCATGTACTTCTTATAATTCAATATTTTGGATTGCTACTATAGAATGATCTTTAATTCTCTAGTTAATAATTTCCTCTGTATTAATTAACTATATTAATTTTGTGTAGCTTTGCAAATTTGTGACATTTCACACACAATTCTTCATCACATGAAAGTATTGGAATAGTTCCCCAAATTTACATAATTACATATGGAGTTAAAATGGTAAATTTGATAAGGAGAGAGAATTAAAAACTTATTTGGAAAACTTGTCAGATTCTTATTTTCCCCCTAGTTCCCAAGAATAGAACTAAAAGTGCCCGCCCCCCCCAATTGTACATATTGCTCTGCAGGAACCTCTGACCTTCAAGCATTTTGGTAATGTCAGAAGGGGAATTCAGGACCCACCTGTTTTGATGGAGAGTTAAGAAACTATTTGATCCTTGTACAGATACACATTTTAATTGCTTTTGAAACTCTTACTTTTTAATCATGGAAGCTTCCATTACTCAAAATTTACCTTCAAAATTTTAGGGATATATTGAAAAATATTTTGTGCCATTGATCTTGAATACACTTTTCCCTGTTGAGAAATAGATAACAAAATTGTTATGATCCTCCTGACCTGACTTCAACACCTGTGTATAAGTGAAGAGCTGGGAGAGCCTACATTAGGGTAGTCAACAATGGGGTGGCCGTTCTCTCTGCAGTGCCCAGTCTTCGCATTCTGCATTCTCTCTCTCTGTGTCTGTCTGTTGGTCCAACCACTCATCCACCTATCCATCCGTATGTCCGTCCTGTGTAGCACGTGCAAGACACCTTGGCCGTGTTCCTCTTGCCTCCTGCTGTGTACGTGTCCCGTGTTCCGAAGAAATGGAGATTGAGTCCCAGCAGCACTGTGTTTGGCAGGGGGAGCACAAGGTCCCGCAGCTGCCCAGCAGCTCCGGGCTAAGTTCTCCCTGCGCTCTCTGTGCCGGGGAAGCTCTCCAGCGCCCCGCCCCAGGCAGGGAATGTATCTACTAGGGCTCCCGGGACATCCTGGCCTTGCGGCCGAGCCAGTCTCTCCCTACTTTGTCCAGCCTCATCTCGGGAGTCTAGTGTGCTTTGGAACCCTTCCTCCTGCCGCCAGGGAGAGGGAGTCCTTCGCGCCTCAGAGCGGCTCCGGAACCTTACTCCACGGCTGTGCACGGGTTTCCCTCCTTTGCCTGAAGGGTGGGCAAGAGTGCCTTTTTTTAGCCTCGCCTCCTGCGGCTGGGTGGTCTTTTTTCTCATTCACGCTGCCTTTCTAGACACGCGGCGGAAATCGAGAAAACACCGCCCATCAACTTAGCACCTTGAATTTAGATCTTTAAATCCGGAAAGGAGGTCGGCGTTGCCGGGGGTCAGCGAGAGAGAGGGAGATCGAAGGCTGTAGCTGCTCCGGGTCTCGCTAGACAGGGCCTGGAGAGCGCGTAACCGGTGCCTAAGAGGGGCACCGAGTGCCGGGCCTCGCCCTCCGCGGTCCCTCCCTGTTCCTCTTCTCCCCGCCTCCCAGGGTTCGCCCCTCCCTCCCCCGAGGAGCAGTCTCTCCTCCGCGCGTCTTCGGGCGCTCTCTCCATTGTCTCTGCCTTTACAACAGGTCCGGGCAGTGCGGAAGACCGTGGGGGTGCAGGGTCATCCGAGCTCCCTTGCTTTCTGGGGGTCGCTTCTCTTCTATACATGCGCATCACCCGCTGCTTTTATTCTGTTCTGGCGCTAATTTCCCAGCGGAGCAGCCCCGGGGTGAGTCCGACCTCTCCCCCTGGGCTCCCCTCCCAGCCTGCTCCGCCGCCTCGGTTCTGCGTGTGGGAATGATGTGCGCATTGGAGGACTTAAGTTCTTCACGCGCCTGATGTGTTCTCGCCTTTTCTTCTACCAAATCATATTAATCCTCATAATCAGTAAATCCAAGACAGCAGCAAAAATAGGCAAACCCTATTTTCCCGCTTTATTCCAAGAAGCTTTCCGGTTTTTATTTTTATTTTTAAAGAGGGAGACGATGGACTGAGCAGATCCACACCATGGAGTCTCGGGTGTTACTGAGAACGTTCTGTTTGATCTTCGGTCTCGGAGCAGGTGAGTGGCCGCAGAGCTGTGGCTGGGGAAAGGGTTGGCCCCCGCCCGGAGCAGTCCGAGCTAGAAGCCTAGCTCTTCCTGGAGCTGAAGTAGGTCTTGAGTGGGAAGCTTGGCGTGGGGACAGCTTTGAGTTTGGATTTTTTTGTGTGTGTGTTGGGCTTGGAGACGGCGAGGTGGGTCACACCCTTACTTAGTCCAGGGTCTGAGGGCGGAGGGGGAACTTTGCACCGAGAGGGCTTTTAAAGTAGGTCAAATAACGGGACTGGGTGCTCCGCTATTTAAAGCTTGGCTCCTGATCCCAGGTAATGCTTTGGGTTGCGGAGAAAGGGAGTCGCCTCTTGGCGTCAGTTTCCAATATTGTCTCGAAGACGTGGTTCTTTGCTGCCCTGAAGGAAAAAGCTTGAATTTTGATAGAGCTTTTTTCTTTCTTTCTTCCCTCCTCCCACCTCCCACCAGTTTGGGGGATTGGTGTGGACCCCTCCCTGCAGATTGACGTCTTAACAGAGTTAGAACTTGGGGAGTCTTCGACCGGAGTGCGCCAGGTCCCCGGGCTACATAATGGGACCAAAGCCTTTCTCTTTCAAGGTATGAAGAACGTGCTGAGTCCCCAATGCGGTTTCAACTCGAATAACCCCGAAGGAGTTGGTTTTGCGCTCCCTCTAACTTCTGTTTTGCCTGCTGGATGACAATATCTGAGCTGAGGTGTGGAGGGGTCAGTCTGAGACACACACCTTTCCTTTCTTTTACGTGACTTGACTCTCTCTCCTCCGTCCTCCTCCCCTTTCTTACTTTGTACTCTTGCCAGTTCTAATGGATAGTCCCTTAATTGCCCTACAGAAACTCCAGTGACAGATGGTTGATTTAGAGTCTGGGGAGCAATGGATTATAACACAAATGCCTCATTTGGGTGAAATGGATTTCGGTAGAAAACAAGATAGCTTAATCTTAGTTAAGACACTGCTTTCTGAAAGTTTCAGTACAATGGTGCCTTGCTGGGAGGAATTTCTTTTGTAGCTAGCTTTATGGAAAAAAATTAATATCTGTCAGGATTTTTATCTACTGTGTATTATACTAAATATGAGACAGGATTTACCCTTGAAAGATCATGAGTCTTCCTTCTTCACTAATGAAGAGAAAGGGAATAATATTCTCTTTAAATTTATTTTGAAAATAATTTCAAGTCAATGTTAATCTAAAAGTATATATAATATCACATCTATTTTATACTTTAGATACTTAAAAATTTCTTTGTTGAAGTCAGTGGACATTTGGTAGGCAAAAATGTCTACCTTTTAAATTATATTTAAATGTATTATGTAGTCATAAGCAAATTATAATTCATCAAGCCTTCAGCTTTGATTTACCAAAGCTTTTGAAAATTGCTTGGTTTCTGGAAAGATAACTGTGTTACGAGTTTCTAAAAGGTTGCTAAACAAGTACAGAAAGACTAGTTCCACATATGGTGAATCATCTTTGATGGCAAGAGGAAAATGGAGTTTGGTTTAACATATGTGATCAATGAAAGCATTCTTCCTCCACCCTACCCAGATTTTCTTTTGTGATTTTGATATTGTGACATCAAAAGAAGTGCAACTCATAGTTATTAGAGAGTTGGATATGCAAAATAAAACCACTTCAGCAAATCTGCCACCAGGAAAGAGGCATAATAAAATAAACTTGAGCGTTTCTGTAGTGGTGTCATTGCCTGATACCACCAGTATGTGTCACCATGGACAGTAACACCAAAGCTTATAGTTGAGAATGGAGGAAATTGACATGTATTGCATTTATGAAAAACAAGCTCACACTTATAAGATATTAAAATGTAACTTGCAGTTTTAATTATTTTGAGCCCACCAAATATGATTATTATGACACATATTTATGACAATATTCTGTTTGTTTAAAGATTTATTTCTGCTTGCATCTTAAATCCTTTAAAAACAATTACCAAAGCTAATAAAAGAAGTAAAGCTGGACTGTCAGCAAAATTTCATGGAGTTGACTAGAAGGGTCATGAGAGCTAAGCTGCTGTTTTTTTTAATCTCTGTTTTTTCAATCTCTGTAAACTGGAAACACAGTTATTTCAAGACTGCCTATTTGAGTGACTGGAAAGCTTTACAGAAGCCAAAGCTTCTGATAACGAAATGTGATGCAGAGCCCTGAAAATTTAAAAAAAATCCTTTAAATTTTATCAGTGATCTTTCTAGCTTCCTTTTAAGTGTCTGAGCTGTAACAAATAGAAACTTCTAGGACTTCACTTTTTATTTTCTTATGCTAGACAATTAGAAAGTTACCAGGATATAGTCTCAAGGGATCAATGCCTATTGCTGGTAAATTTTTAAAATAATGTTTAGTATTAATTTTAAATTAAGTTCATTCCGATTTCAGTTGCCAGCTGTTACAGTTAGGCATCATTTTCCAATTCCATAAAGGTCATGGAAGGAGGAGCTCTGGTAGCATAGCGGCTAAGACACTTGCTTGCTAACCAGACGGTTGGCAGTTCAAACCCACCAGCCACTCCTTGGAAGGAAGGTTGGGCAATCCTACTTCCGTAGTGATACTGCCTCGGAAACCCAAGGAGGGGTCGCTATGAGTCGGGTTTGACTCGACAGCACATAACAACAACAAAGGTCATGGAATATGTTTTCTTTGAATGGTCCACAGTTAACTAGATAGCAATACACATGCTTAATTGATTGATTTTATTTCCTTGTTAGTACCAAGCTCAATGTTCAGACAAGAGTAAATGCCTAACAAATGTAATTCATCAGACTGGATGTAAAATTTTATTTCTGTTTATCAATGATTATTATTATTTAATGCCTGCTGTGTTCTGATGAGCTCTGGTGGTGCTGTGGTTAAAGCTTTGGGCTGCTAACCAAAAAGTCAGTGGTTCAAGTCCACCATCTGCTCTGTGGGAGAACTATCAGGCAGTCTGTATCTGTAAAGATTTATAGCCTTGGAAACCCGACGGGGAAGTCTACTCTGTCCTTTAGGGTCGCTCTGAGTTGGAATAGACTTGATGGTCTTGGTTTTCTTTTTGCATTCTTCCTGTGTTTTTCTTCATTTATTATTCTCCTTTTTTTTTTTTTTTTTTAATTTGTTTTGGTGTATTGATTATTCCTAATAATTTCTCTTAATCTAAGCTTTGGGTTCTGAAATCAATGACAAGTGAACCTTTGGCCCTGTGGTAGCTCTGCAAGGTAGCATTACCTTGGAAAGGTCTTTTATCTGCTATTAGAATATGAAAACTGTTTTTAGGAAGTAATTTCTGACTTCTGCTGCTTCACTGGAATTCCATGGGTTTTAGAGAGACAAAAGCGTTCAGACTCTGAAGATTTTATAGATTTGGTTTCTAGTGAATTGAGTGTATTGCAGGTATTTTTATAGCATGTGTAAAATGTCATAGCAGGAGTAGTAACAAATTACACAAACCTGTGAGAGGCCTTCAGATTTCATATGAACCTGTGAGATAAGTTTGTTTTCAGATTTGTTTGAAATTCATGGAAGAGTATTCGAACCATAAGAGTTCTCCAGTAGTAATCTTTATTACTACTTTATTATTTAATTTCAACATACACATAATAAAAAACAATAAAAATATATGACAAAATCATACTTGATTTTTATCACAATAACAATCATAGTATCATTAAAATTGATTTGTTGTTGAAAGTTTATTTAAAGCTGCTTAAGAAATTGAAGTAATAAGATGCTAAATTAGACTGTCCATTAATAAATGTGGCTTTGATTTGTGCTGATGGGAATAATTTCCCAAAGAGAAAAGTGTCCAGGCAAGTTTGGAATCTGTATCAAGATATTATAAGTCATTGGATACAGTTTTCTAGCTACTATAATCTGATTTACGGTTATAAAAATATACCTAGCTCTGGTGGTGTTGTGTGTAAGGCATTTGACTGTTAACCAGAAGGCTGGCAGTTCAAACCCACCGGCCACTGCCCGAAAGAAAGGTTGGGCAATCTACTTCCATAGTGATACTGCCTCAGAAACCCAAGGAAGAGTCGCTATGAGTCAGATCCGACTCGATGGCAGTGCATTGTGTTACATATACATGTATACGTGTGTGTGTGTATAAAGATCTGAATGCTGACAGTGAAAAGTCCTATGAAAAGCTATAAAGTCAGAAGTTACAAGAACTAGTGCAAATATAAATAGAATTTTGCCTACCTTATTTTAAGGACTATGAAATATTTTTTGAGATGTTGACCATAATAATGTTCTTTCACCTGTATAAATTAGAAGCCAAGAATGAAAGCATTCAGACTCACAGTCCTAGGACTTTTTAGCAGCATTAGTATTTCAGATCTTTGATTTCAACAACTCATTTGGCCATGCTTCCAAAGTAAATAATTTCATGTTGTTGTTGTTGTTAGGTGCTGTCGAGTTGTCTCTGACTCATAGCGACCCCATGCACTGCTCAGTCCTGCACCAGCTCCATGATCCTTGCTATACTTGAGCCCATCGCCACTTCATTTCATATAATTTCATGTTATGCTAGTTTAATAAAATTTCTTCTGAAGTTTTCACAAATATTATAATCTCATTAATCCCTACAAGAGAAGTAGATAAATCCAAAGCACATTTTTTTTTTTTTTTTTCAGGATTGGTAAATTGAAACTAAGTTTAGTAATTATTTTTAAAGATTTTAAAAGAAAAAAAACTATACACAAATCTACTCTTAATGCTAGTGTTTGAAAATGAGAATGAAATAGTCATTGACTTTACTAGGCAAATGTAACTATATTAAGAAAGGTGAGATGGCAATGGCTACTTGTTTTCAGTGTGGTAGTCACTGAGCATCCATGAATTTAAGGAAAATGGCCATTGGTGCCCTAATCGGGTAGATTAACACAGGGATAAAGAATTGGGCTTGGAAACCACATAGACCCAGGTGGAATCTCATTAGTGGTATTATCACAGTGGAGTTAATTTCTCTGAGCTTCAGGACCCTCAGTTATTAAATGAGTGTTGTTAGGAGGACTGAATGAGACATAATCATTTATTCAAAAATTTTTTTTTTTGTGCAACTACTATTCTGTTAGGTAGCATATGACAAATAAAATTAGAACTGATCTTTGTCATTATAATGCCTTTAAAATAGACCATAAAGAAATAATTATACAGCTAACAATTTAATTACCATCTAGACAAATGATAAGGAGAAAAATTAAGGATATAATGGACACCTATATTTTGATTTGGAGAGTCACAGGATCAAGGAAACCATCATTGAAAAAGAGATATTTAAGTTAAAAGCTGGAGGATAAGTAAGAGTAGTCTGGAGAAGAAAGGTTGTGGGGTTGGGAGAGGAAAAGTAACACAAGCAAAGGAATGGCATGTGCAAAGATCCCAAGCCTGGAATGAGCATGATCTATTTGAGAAACTGGAAGTAGTCCAGAATAGTGGAGACATAAGAGTTGTGATATGAAATGAAGCAAATGAGGAAAGCAGGGACCAAAGTATGTTTGAGTGCATCGTTGTGGCACTTCTGTCAATCCATTTCATTGAGGATTCCCTCATTTTTGTGCCTCTACTTTATTAGGCAGGAGCTCTGGTAGCGT